CAAAATAGACGCACAAAGTTCAAAAGAATTCGAACGGAAGTGCAAGACGGTGCTGGATCAAATGTTGAAGCGGTGCAGCAGCCAGTGGTGGCAGCCAAGGTCGGTTTTCCCAAAAAAGATCCCAATATGCCAACCCACGAGGCTGCGGATGACAAATCCTTCCGAGACGAGTGTTCACCCATGAGCAGCTGCAAGGCAGCCAACTTCCCTTTCGGACACTCCGCAGTGGAGGCTAGTTTTCCCCCCAGTGGGCTACAGTTCCACCCTCCTCCTCCTCCGCCTCCGAAACCCGAATGTGGCGCAAGAATAAAAAAAACTGGAAATACTGCTGTGACCGTCTTTAAGCCGACTTTCAAGGTTCCGACTTCCATGTTGTTTACCTCATTTGCCTCCCTTCACCCTGCTGCCGCTGCTTCCCCTATGCCCAAAGTCGCTGATCACCAAGTGCCCCAGTATGAGTCTCCAAATCTTGTCAGTGGTGGCCGCGACCAGTGGAGAAGATACTGTTAATTCAGTGTCCCATAATAGTTGATATACCTGTTGATTCAGTTGGTTCATGATCAATTATTTCTCAATAAATCAACTGTCACGGGCAAAAATCAAACCGAAAAGTCTGCTGTTGAGGAAACTGAAGGATTGCAACCGCAGTATATTAAATAAGATTTTTCAAAAATAAAAAAGCATGATACATCAAGCGTGTTTAGCTTGTTGTTTGATGAAGGTTAGTTCTGTACCAAGGCGGCTAAGGTAAAATTTTATGCAGTTCCGGGGTGAGGAATAATCGGCTTCTAAGTCACAATCTCCCCTGATATTAAACTCTTAAGTCCTATCACAGTTGTTCTAAATAGCCGGACGGGTTAGGCTACTGCCCCTACCTAAGCCATTCGTGCCCCGGTATAGACTAGAGTTAAATGCAACGGGCCATCCTGTGGTTTCGCTGTGAGGCATAACGAGACTCTGGAAGGAAGATGAAAGAAGACAGTCTGAATTTTGACCTCGACTTCCTCTCTGAACTCCGTGTAACTGAGACCAAAAGGGAACCTGCCGCATAGCCCAATGCGCCATAACTTATCTACGGCAGAATAAAATGTATTGCCAGTAAATCAGAAAAGAACAGGTAATTTGAATAAATGATTCATGCGGGAATCCAATGATAATTGCCAAATCACCGTGCTCTCCGTGGCTTATCACTGTGTTAGAAGTCGAAATGCGAGCCACATTCCGTGGTGGTCAGACTCAGTTTGGTCAAAACAATTCGCAACGCAGGGAGCGCCCTGGCGTGCACATCCTGCAACGCCAGTGCTGGCGAACCAGATAGTCAAGCAATCATCACGCCAAAATGCAACACGAGGGATGAGGTTTCATGACCCGTACGCCTGTCATCGAAAAATTAGCGCACAAACGGGCATATATCTTCAATAAAGGGGGAGCCGTTAGTTGTCATAGGTCGGCAGTAGCATAGCGACCGAATCCTATGAATACTGCATATATTGCCCCCGAACACACTATATTGGGAAACAGTAGTTTATGTAGTGCACCTAATTAATCCCTAGTCTCAGCATCTTGTCCTAAGAAAGCGGTGGTTATAGGGTTTTATGGGTGGGGAATTAGGAGAGACAATTGAATACACTTTAATAACTGCTATATGCATTTTTATTTCATTGTATTTGGAAATGTTTTTTATTCATATCTGCAGATTTTACTATTCTGTATTATCATTTAACGTATTGCGGGAAAACTCGGTCAGCAAATTGCAGGCCTCTTGAAAAGTTTCTTGCTGAAAAGTAGAAATGGTGGTTAGGAGGCCGTCTACTTCAACTTATATGAGGTCCAAATTACCGTTCTGGAGTTAGATTAGTGTGGTCCGCGGCGCGAAGCGCCCCGCACACCTTCAATTTACATGTGGAACAACTTACTCCTAGCGGTCGCGGGAAACAACTTCGACTACATTTTTCACTTCTAAAAATTTCCTTTCCTGCCTATCCTACTTCGCCACCCCCAAAAACCCCGTAATCACCACTTCCGTAGCACAAAATGCTGGGACTGGGGGTATATGAGGTGCACTACATAAACTACTTTCGCCCTAAAGTGCAACTAATCTTTGGTTTGTGGGTAGGAACTACAGGAAACGGGGGCAAAATTCCAGACCACACAAAAAAGAGCACCAGTTAAGAAATCCAGACACAGGTCTCATCAGTCTCCCGCGGCTGTATGCCGCAGGTGCGCCGGATTCTGGTCATCTTTAGGTTTCATGTGATTTCTGGAAGAACTGAGCCAACTTGTAGTTAAGCCGTTACCAATAGGCTGTCTTTTAGACTCGACAAATCCTAATGGTTTTTACTTTTCGACTGAAACCTTAGCAATCCAGCCTAAAACTCCTGCATAATTTTCACCTGTTTCCCTTGGCGTCTTGCGAGCACTTAGGCAGCATGTGTGGAAGAACAGGATTACCCAGTCATGCACGCCCCTGGAGTAGACGGGCAGGTTGTAAGTTACATTCAGCAGGAAGTTACTACTTCGACAGCCAGCTGAAATCGACCCCAATTCTCACCTCGTACATGAGGAGGCTGACATCTATGCACAGTCATATGGATGGACCATGCTAAATGCTGGTCAGAACTTCGCTAGGAATTGCTTTGGCAGGCTGGGAGGCCGGCAGTAGTTCCCTTTGATCAGAATCCTGCACAATGTTTAATTCCTCGGTTGCAACATTACCCCCCCCCCAGCCCC